CTGGGTTTCCAAGTTAGAAAAATTTTTGTTTTACTTGCATAGATGGTGTCATCTGCTCATAACATTCCCAGGTTAACCTCCAGGGAATAGCAGAATTACACTTTAAACTTCCTAGGTTGTCCATTCCCTACATATAATCAATTGACTTATTAATGATTATTCTATTTTACTTTTTCATCTTGCTACAGGATTCCTTTAAATGCTGGGCCCCCTTGTCTGAAAGCTGTTGCTTTCAGAGATTGAGATTAGGAAGCAGTCACAGTATAAAAGCCAGGCACCTCTGCTCAGAGGATGGTGGGTGAAAAATGAAAATGGAATCTTTCTCAAGTTAGAATATAAGATGGTAGAAAATTTGCTTAGTTTACACATGCTTAGGTCACAGATACCTTTTCAAGATGGAGTGAGTTGGTTTCAGCAAGATTCACTTGTCCTTCAGAATTAAGGTTTAACTGATACCAGATGCCCCCTTATTCTGCAGCTTTGGATCCTGTAAACCTGTCTCTCCTTTTACCACATACCACTTGGCTTGCTGAATTCCACAGCTCTTAGAATGCCCTCTCCTCCCAAAGAATCTACTCACAGAGAGCATTAAAGAGAAATGTAGACTTTACTGAATATTTCTGAGGGGACCTAGGAAGAGGTTGACATTGACACTGTTCAGCAAATGACTTCCATTTTTCCCTTAGCCACTTGTTCTCCCAAGTCCCTTCATCTGTGCTACCACAGCTGGTTATTTTTGCCTCTTTTAAAGCTTTGCTAGTTTTTCTCTGACAAACTTTCCTGAATGCCTACCCCCTTTTTTCTCTCCTTCTTTTTGAGAAAAATGCAAATTTTCTCCATTCTTTTGCAGAGCAGTTAAGGGTCCCTTTTCCTTCTGAAGCAAAAACTCAGGGGTTACAAGTCAAATGGCCCTTTTTTCACACAGTAAGGTATTCCTGCGTGGATGATGGACAGATGTAAAGGTAGGCGGGCTTGGCTGGAGAAATGTGGCTATCCAAATCAGAAGAGGAGATTACCATTGCTCAGACATCCTCACCATTTTCAGGACCATCATTGTCTATCAGTAACTTTGTGGGGCCTTAAAAGCTCTCCATAGAAATGGTGTCCTGAGAGGTGTTTGAGGAGGGAATGGAAAGAGATTGTGTGGAAGAGGGCAGCAGCTATTCCTTGACCAGAAGACCATGTCACCTTGACCACTGCTTGCTGATCGAGTGTTTGTTGACTGCACAACACTTTCATACCGGGAAACAAAAGGTGTCATTGAATTATTGCCAATCTTAACTTGAATGGAGTCGAGCCTGGTCAGATGATCTTCCAAATACCCAGAAGGCCCCTTAGATTCAGGATGTTCAGTTGGGTAGTCCTTTCTTTTACACATTTTAGGTCCTACAATTCACACCATTTGGCAAGGTACCCTGAACCTTGTCCTCAAATTCTGCTGAGGTGACATGCAGCCCAATATCGCCAGTACCATTGGTTTGCTGCTGGTGTGGGGATCTTTCTTTTGGTTGGGGGCTTCCAGAACGCTGTCTGGAATCTTAGTTCATAGGTCTGTGATGAGAGAGCCTGGGCTTCTGAGATGGAGGAGACTTTGGAGAAATTCAAATCCAGCCACTTCATTTGTCAGTTGTGGATCCTGAATTCCATGGAGGGAAAAGGAATGGCTCCAGGTCATATAGTGAGTGACTTGTTGGGCTGGGGTGTAAATCCATCCCTTCTGATACCCATATGGGGTTCTGTCCACATATCACATTGCTTCCCTGCCTTCTGTCTGAAAGACATTTTGTTCAAAACTCTCATCTTCCCAAGAGACAGAAGGAGAAACATACTATTAATACCCTTGGTGGTTTTAGTCTTGTTCTAAAGGTTTCTTTTTGCCCAAGTATTAAGTTGGATGAAGTACTGCATAGTAGAGAGTTGCTTTTTTCCTAAAAATCAGGAGAAATGGTTCAGTCTGAACTACTGTATAAGAAGATGGACAACACATTCTCAAGAGGAAAGGTGTTTGTATCCACATACTGGAATTTATCCACCTTGACCGATATGGTGGTGTTGACCTGGAGGTGCTCCAGCAAAAATTGAGAGAGATTCTGATATATGTTTTGGGTTTGCACTCCAGACTCACACACTGTCACCAATGTCTGCTTTTTGACATCTTTGTTGATGAGAAGCTCCAACTTCAGGTCAACAGAATGTTCTGGACATTTCACATGAAATTGCAGTTGGCAAACGATGAAGTACCAACCTGGGAACTGGATGACCAGATTCCCATCCTGATATCTGACTCCATGGACAATGCCATCTTTATTCCAAGACAACTTGCTTTTGTTTATATGCTTTGACACTGCAAAGAGAATGACAAAAAAAAAAACAAAAACCAGAATTACTGAGCACATTTCAGATGCAGGTTGGAAAATTTGAAGTCTTTTTTCAAGTGTCCCCGTTCAAGACCCATGTTTTCTGTACTGTTGCCTGCTGTTCCAGCCATATGGAATATCTTCCCTGTTACTCCTTCTACATGCTGTTTGCTATTTCAGGCAGAGGTACAAAACCACCCCTCTTCCTTTTTTCTAATGCTGAAAGCTGAAGGGTCACATGGCATTGGACCACCACCTTCTACGGAATTGTTTTCCTTTGAATGATTATATTGTGTCATTCTGTTATTATTATAATTATTATCTTTCCCTTTTCAGGCTATAAGTTCCTGGACTATATTCTCCACAAGTTCTAGACTATCATGTTATTTATTCAATTGATCAATGAACATTCAGTTAATGGGAGACCACTCTTTGGTAGACATTGTCCAAAGTATCAGAGATAAGGCATTCAATTTTGTTCAATTAGTAACCAGTTTAGGCGTCAAGGTGTCCAGAAGAATTTCAGTCTAGCTTTTACCATCAGATGCATCCCTTAATAATTCATTGTCTGAATTTTTGAATGTCTTCCTCTCTTTCAAAAAGGGCAGACAAATATAATCGTGTAGATACCTCAAGTGTACATTAAGGGGCTCCTCCCAGCTGGGATTTATAGGAAAGCAGACCCTCTATACCGACACATTTATAGTGAAAGCCACATCTTTCTGTGTCCTAAAGTGATTGGCTATGGTGGCTTTCAGACCTGGGAAGCTGGTGTGTTAGTTTTAATTGCCTCCATCTGTTCCCTTTAAACCTCATTGCAATTGCACTGAAGAATGAGAACGAATCTAACTGTAAAATTGAATTTTTAAAATGGGTAGAATGGCTATTCAGAGTGTCTTAGCTATCTTCTCCATTTTCTCATCTCTCCCAGTATAAATGCGTCTCACAACTTCATTTGTAAGGGGCCTCTGACCTGAAGCATGCTGCAATATGGCCCTGTGCCAACATGTTCATTAAGCTGTCAATCTGGGGACAAAGCAGTTTTGTGGTTCCCTTGTGAACAACTTGGTAGAGGCAGTGATGAAGACCCTGCTTCCCTTGCATGAAGAAAAGTACTGTACACTTGGCCCATAACCTGTAGGTGTCTGAATAGAGATGGGTGATGGGGGTGGGACACAAATGCCATCAGAGGCCAGGTAGACATCACGAAGGAGTGCCTTATGGGGCAAGGAAAGAAGAACCTTGTCTTTTTAGAGAGTAACAATCTCCCCCTTTCACCCTAAGGCCTTTCAATTCCAACTATAAAAAGTACCATGTGGGCTAAACAGAACACATCAGCAGGTCACATCCCACCATAAACTTCTACTGGCTTAGACGCTTCAGAAAGGCCACAGAAGTGGCCCTCACATGGTTAGGGTTCCTGGATCCAGTTACTGACCTTGGAGGTAGGCCCATGACTTCTTGGATGGAGCCCTTTCCAGGATACATAGCATGTCCTCTGAGCAATTTCCTACAAATAAGGAGATCACTCATTAAATGTCTTTCTCTGCTCTGGGAACTGGGGACGCCAGATCATTTTCCATGTCCTTTTGATGGAGAAAATTCCTATTGTGCTTCCGTTTGGGGGACAAAAGGAAAACCTATTCATTTCTCATTTTGCAATTGAGTACCTTAGGGTTTTTAATATATTGATTGCTTCCACTTGGGCTTTTACAAAAGACTGGGGAAGGAAACAAATATCATCTGAGTTCCCACCTGTACCAGGTACATTCTTGTCATTGTACATAGTTCACCTCATTTAATCTTTGTTGCATCTCTATGACAGAGGTATTATTAAGTCCTCTTGACAGACAGAAGAAAACCTGGGGACCAGGCAGGTTAAGTACTTTGTCCTCTGACACTCAACCAGGGAATGGTAATCATATTAATAATACTCATAGCAATTATTGCCATCCTTCATTTGAGAGTGGATCAGATAACTGGTCTGTATACTTTTACATATTCCAGCTAATCTAATTATTAGGATAACTCTGCAAGGTTGATCCTGACACCTAGGCATGGTCAATGATACACGGTCAAGCAAGATGGTGCTAACGCTGAGATTCATCCCCATGTCTGTATGATCCCAGAGGCCAGGTTTCCTCCTTGAGTCCATTTTGCTAGACAGTGGACATAAATATGTCCTTATGCTCAATTTAAAAAGGACTTGGATTAAATAAGTCTAAGCAGAGAGTCTGCTATCTGCAGTTTCCTGGGTAGGGAAGAAAGACAAATGTTTATATCATTCTGATGTTTAAGAAATAAAAATAATATTTATATATTCACTGGTGATGGTGGTTTAGCTTCTTATTATAGTAACTATTTGGTATGCAAAGAACCAAGTTATACATTTCCTGCAATGACTCATGAATTCAATTTATTCAGGCAAATTCCTTCTCTGCTTTGGGCTTTAAAACTGGGAGATCTATGACCTGACGTTGACATCTGAGCTGATGTCACCGTAGATAACCATTCAATCCACCCATCAGAGACCACGCAGCCGTGGCCCTATTCAGTCGAAGCGGCTACACCCTGCTGTGTTTGCTCACTTAATCTCTGAGTGGTATCTATGGGGCTCACAATCTTCCCCATTGCCCTCTCTGCCCAGGCTGGAGAAAATCTCTCCTAGCTTTCCTCACAGCTCCATAGGGGCCCTGGAGTGGTTGAAAGTTAAGTGAAGAGGTCCCTCTGCTGTCGTAACAAGCTCACTGCTCCAGCACCCCCTGTGAAGGCCGGGGCTGTTTTCATCCTTATCTGCCTTCCAACCACCAGGAGCCTCTGGTCCAAAGGTGTCTTTGGTGAGGAGGGTGGTGGGGGGCAACTGCCATTCTTTGATCCCATCTGTCACTCCTCCTTCAGCCGGCGTTCTTGTCCTGTCTGTGTCAGCCTTCTGGGGGGCTGTAGAATGAGCACCAGGACTTGGGGGCTGCTTCTGCTCTAATGTGCTATGAGTGCTGTTAGAGAGCCCCCGGGCCCAGCCTCCCCTTTCCGGGCACAGAACATCAGGTCAGAAGACTGCACAGAGAGGCACGTCTGGCTGCGTCTCTTCTCTGCTTGCAATCCCTTTCTGACCCCATTGTGCCTGTGGGATCACGGCTAAGTTCCGCCACTTGGCATGCATGTTCCCCTGCGATCTGACTCTGTTGAGCTCTGCAGTCCCCCCTCTCCCCTTCCCTCTTTGCCTGGCACTCTCTGTCCCAACAACAATAGTAGCGGCCGTAGCAGTGCCAGTGCCAGTCATGGTAGTAACAGCTAGTACATACTGCGGGGTGGCTGTTTCCTAGGCACTCTGCTAAACGCATTACCTGCCTTCCTTCACATACTTCTCACAAACACCCCATGAAAAAATACTACCATGATTTTGGTTTTGTACATCAGGAAACCAGGCTTTAAAAGATTCAATGACTTCCCATTCACACAGCTAGTCAGTGGTGAGGTGGAGATTCAAACCTAGGCCGTGGGACTCGAGGGCCTGAGTGGATTGCTGACCCTCTACTGGAGTTTTGGGGGCTTGTGGTACGTCCCTTCCCCCTCCCCACACACCAATAACATCTTGATTTGCCATTTCACCTGGAATCCCTCCTTCACCAGGTAATTCATTCCTTGGGTAAAGCATAGCCATCTCCTTTCTTTTCTCTGTTTACCTATTGGCTCCCTCCATTAGACTGGGAACCCTCAGGGCAGAGACTACTGGGTATATATATCCCCTCAGCCCAGCCCAGGAGGGGCTCTGTAAATGTTTGCTGAACTGAGTCATCTCGTCTGTGTCCCTTACTTCCCTCTGTGGATGTCAGGTAAGTTCTTATGGCCCGAGTGAGGAGTGGGGATGCTTGGCTTGTCTTTCCACTCCCTGCTGGAGTGATCCCTAGCCTCCTTCTTGCAGCAGCTCTGCAGGTTAGGTTAGATTAAACAGGAGGGTAAGAATCATGCCCTGGGCTGAGGCCAGCACATCAGGCCCAGAGCAGACTGTGCTCATTGGCCGGAGCCCCCTCCCAGCACACCACTGCCCCTGGCACCTCTCAGGTGAGCTCTGTGAACAGGTGGCTGTAGGTGGACAAGCCTGCACTGGCCTCACATACAAGCACATTCTTTTTGTCTTTCCCCTTTGGTCTCCTCATGTTTGACGTCTTGACCTCAGTTGTAATTCTGAGAAACCCAAGGGTGGAAAAAACTTTATTTTGAAGCATTTGCATTTCCTGAAGTCAGATGGTGTGGTGTACTTTAGGTTTTCTGAGAGGCTCTTTTAGATGGTTTCAAGCCAAAGGAAAAACATGGGCAACCCCCTGTAAGAATGACATTGCTAGAGCTGGCTCAGGGAACAGGATGGCGGAGGGGCTGCTGATGGAATGGCCGCTGAACCTGAACAGGAGCCCAGAGGAGGGTCACACTCATGGCAGGAGGGACAGCACAGCCTGCCCTGCGGGGCCCAGGCACCAAGGCTCCGAGAAGAAGTTTAAGGTGATCACACACATCAGCTAGTGGCTACCTCTGCTCTCATCCCCACTTCTCAGATGAGGCAGTGGGAAGAGCTTCCCGGGGCTGGTGGCTCAAATATTTGACCAGTTAGCCCAGTTCAAAGATGCAGCCTGCTTTGAGGGTCATGAGGCTCTTGTCAAAAGCTGGAGGACCATTTCATGGGCTATCCTCCTAAGTCCAAATATGACTCATTTTTTAGTCATGGAGATGGAAGGAATGACCTAATAACAGGTGGTAATACATGTGGCTGGAATCCTGTAGGGTCCCAGGACTTCTGAAAGCCAGAAGCCTGGGTACCAAACACACCTGTTTCATTCACTTCCCAGCTGCTGGTGATGTTAGGCGGGGTTTGGGTTAAAGAACTGAACACACCTGGGTGGGGCAAAGGAAAATTGTCCGTAAGGCATGGCTGAGCCTATGCCTGGGAGTTAGAATCAAGGAATTCTCCCTCTCTGGGCTCCACTGCCTCTAACTGGATGAAGAGCAGTGTGTATCTAATGATCTAGAAGGGCCCTTCTAGCTTTTCCTAGCCCTCTGTATAGACTCAGCTGTTCTCTGCCAAGCCTGCTGTGGGCAGGGGGTAGCAGGGTGGGGGGATCAGTCCCAGCCCTGGCTTTCTGTCTTTTTGGCATATGGCTCTACCCCAGCTAGACCATCTTCACACAATCAGATTTCCAGACACTTGCAGCGATGGAACAATATTTTAGGTCTGGGGACAATCAAAGTTATGAACAGCCAGATTCTGTAAGGATTTGCATGGTTCGTAGGAATGGATGTTCCCTGAGAGGTCACCTGGTCCAGGCTTGGTAACCATATAACACATGTGCCCCCTCCCACACATACATTACCCACATAGCAGACTTGTCCTAGGTCACCCCATGTGTTAGTGACAGAGGCCAACCAGAGTCCAGGACTCATTTCTGTGGGGCATTCGATCTTTTGGATACTCGAGTACTCTGTGCATTCTTCTGTGGACCTAGACCTTCAGATGGGCAAGATTTGTATGCTGTTTTCCCTAGTTTTGGCCTCCTCTAGAAGGATCATGGAACTTTCTTGGCTTTGTTTGGGAGCCTAGGGAGAAGTATGTGTGTGTCAATGAAACCCTCCTGGCCAGTTACACAGAAGAGAGAGTTAGAGAAGTTGGGTAAGGAGGCTGAAAGGATAATGGCCACCTGAAGACTGGACCCCACCTTGAGATCTAAAATGTTAGACCTGAAAGGGCCATGAGATGCCAAGTTAACCAGGACCCTAGTTTTATGAGTGGGGAAACTGAACCTAGAGGGACTGAGGGTCTGGCCCAAGACCCTGTAGGCATTAGTGGCATTGCTGAGTTCAGAGCACAGGGCTCCTGATTCCCCATCCAGGGCTCTGTCCCCTGTCTGGTAGTCTTCCCGTGGAGCAGAGAGGGTTAAATGTAGGGAAGAGTGGGTTTGCAACCACCAGAGGCACTGGACCGAAAACTGGCAAGACATCTAGAGGGGTGGGAAAACAAGCACCATTGAGCCCTGTGGGCTCCCTCTTGCAGAAGAGTGCCAGCGGGTGACTCCAGGCTCATGTGCTGAGCCCTGCCACGTCATTAGTCAGAAGCAATCGGGCTTCCATTAAGATGTAACAGTGCCCAGGGTGGCAAACAAACCATACTGACCGTCCAGGCCAGATGGTATGTGGTCTGAGTGCCAGGCATCTTCCAGGTTGATAACAGGACAAGGCAGACACAGTGCATGTAAAATGAACACCTGGGTTCTAGTTAAGGCTTTTAGCTTCAGACCTGTCATTTTCCCTTACCGACCTCAGTTACCACATCTGTAAAGTGGGGATGGTAACAATCAATCTAAATGTATGATTGTTGCAAAGATGCAATAAGATTATGGGTGTCAAGTGTCCTGTGTGGCTCCTGGGAAGGAGACACCAGGAAATGGTAGTCCTTCTCCCCGCTGCTCCTCTTTTCCTAGTTGTTATAGTGGCCGGCTTAGCAGTGACACTTAGCAGAGTGAT